TTTCAGTTACTCACTTTAAATTCTCAGGAAATTTTTTCTCTGTTTCTCTCCACCCCCCGGATTTTCCTAATGCTAAAAATTAAACAATTTGAGCATTGCATAAAATTGGGAGCAAATCCAAGACAGAAAACAGATGTTTTATTAAATATGCATCTTTTCAAAAATGAATGTGGTTTGGAAGATTGTTCTGTTTGAGAGAAAGATAAAGTCTGGGTTAGATAAATTTGGGTGCAAGTTCAAGTGATTTATGTTAACTGGAACATTTATATATACATCTAGACATATCCAGGACAACCCTGCTAAAAACCTACCGATAAGTCCTCTTCCCATCTGAGCGTGCATTTTATTTTTTTAGCTACTCATGAACGTCTATCAAAATTAAACTTATTTCTCCCATTTTTCTTTTAGAAACTTAGCAGGTCATTGTGACTCAAAAGACGACTAAATAAATGATGAATGATAGTAGTTTTATTTTTTTTTTAAGTTAAAAATACCTCTGAAATATCTTTAGGTTTTAAAAAGAAGTTCAGATTTTCCTGTTTTTGTGTATGTGTGTGCAGGGCTAGATGCAGACCCTGGTCATGAGTGCTGCTGAAACCTTGGGACCCCTTAGGTGTAATCCTGGCACAGACTTCGTGAGGACCCTGGAGAGTCTAGTGTAGCTACCATCTCCTCCTTTCCCCATGACAAACGTGGGCCTCCTCTCTCTCCTCCTTCAAAGCCATCTTCCATGCCATATCCTAAGAGTTTCCCAGAGCTGCTACCCCTTCTGAGCATGGCCCTCTCTATTCCTTTATCTCTGGATACGGGAGCTCCTGCAATTATATCTAAGTCCTCTCCTTGATGATGTTTTCCCCCAGGAGACCACAAGCTCCTTGAGAACAAGGACTGTGCCACATTCATCTCTGGAATTTCTTTTCTATCCTCATACCTTGTGCACAGCCTGCGTTCAACGCACATTCGCGAAGTGAAATATCTTAGGATTTCTAGACAGAGTTTACTGTACATTATTTAGGTACCAGAGAATAAAATCATATTCGTAACCTATTGAAAAGTCCTAACTCCGTCAACGTCCTCCTTTATGAAAATATTTATACACTTTCACCTTATGTTCTAGGTATCTGTTTGACCTCCTACCCAGGGCGAATTGGAATGGCTGTGAATGTCTCTATGAAACCCCAAGTCTTTAGTTGTAAAGGTGAACTTATATGGAGAGGCTTCTTTGAAACATTGTCATAGCGTGGAATAGATCATTCTTAGCTTCTACGTCCGCTATTCCGCCAAAGGTCTGTATGCTTTGACTAGTGTATTCTCTGTATGGTAAAATTCCAATAAAATGACATGAGATATTTATGGTAATGTTGGCTAATATATTGGTAACTCATAAATATTGGTTTGCCTTGAGTATTTAATATCAGTCATCTCAGGCAATATTTGTTTTTACAAGAAGCTTTTATAGATGAGTCGATAACATACTAAGTATAGCGTAAGTCTTCACAAATGGTCTGTATACGGTAGGGTGTAGTTTCACATGAAGACAAATCATAAAATGTAGTTTCTTATTAATTTCCGAATAATCGGCTACCTGTCATCATATTTATCTGTCTTCAGGACTTCTGTAATAGGTCATCCAGCCCAAATTTACTGGTAACATCAATAGTGTTTTAATCTAGAGAACTGAGCCTTTAACCTTTGAAAGATCTCATTAGCCACACGACTCTATCTTATAACTTAGCTTCCGATACATGAAGCAAAGCTTATTATTACCTCATGGACCCCCATGAATCATGTAGCAGAAAACAAATGAGAAAAATGAACACGTGATTACTTGAACATAGGTCAGTGTTAGTGATCAGCATTCTGCTTAGATAACAGAGTCATGAGCAGCAAAATGCCGTAGCAGGCGGGCGTAATAAATGGTCATTGCCCTTCTCTGACCCTTTGGTGTTTGGAGGTTTCTACTACCAAAAGCCGTCTGGGAGAATGTTATGTTGTAAATTCACACATGTGGGGCTATCCTTTGAGAAGAAATAATAATAATAAAAAAAAATTAGAATGTATTTCACCGTGCATAGCAGGAAAAATAGTAGAATTGTTACCGAACACAGATTCGTCTGCTCTGTGCACAGTGAGGCCAAACAAACCGAAACTTCGGAGTTTGGAGCAGACAGAGGTTTACTGCAGGGCCATGAAAGAAGCCAGGTGGCTTCTCTCCAAAAAACCCACAACTTTTAGCAACGCATTTTTAAAGGCCCGGCGAGGGAGGGGCATCCTAGGGTGTGTGTGTTCAGCTCACGCACAGTTCTCTGATTGGTTGATGATGAGGTCACAGGGCAGCGTCACAGGGGTACTGGTTGGTCTGGGGGCTGTGTGCTAGTGGTCGTCAGATCGTTAATTTCTTCCATGTGGTGGTTTTTAGCATCTGAAAAAACTCAGGAAATAGGCATGAGATACACTAGGCACTTCAGAGAGGAGCTGCAGCAGATGTGGGGGAGGGGTCTCTGTCCCGGGAAGGGCCCCTAGGGTCCTGCTTGGTTACGGAATCTGTGTTGATGGTAGTGACCAGGGCCCAGTAAGAGAAGTGGAGTTGGTGAGATAGGCAAGCAGGGTGGGTGGAATCATTCCTGACATGTGAACTAAACCCTACAGGATGTGAATATTTTGTTCCGTCAGTATCAGATTTGCCAAAAAAAAAAAAAGGAAACTCACGCACATACTAGTTACTGAATGTTTCTCTCTCCCTTGTGCACCTAAAAAACACATACATGGGGCTTCCCTGGTGGCGCAGTGGTTGAGAGTCCGCCTGCCGATGCAGGGGACGCGGGTTCGTGCCCCGGTCCGGGAAGACCCTCATGCCGCGGAGCGGCTGGGCCCGTGAGCCATGGCCGCTGGGCCTGCGCGTCCGGGGCCTGTACTTCGTAACGGGAGAGGCCACAGCAGTGAGAGGCCCGCGTACCGCAAAAAGAAAGAAAGAAACAAACAAAAACACATACATGAAATCCAGCAAGCCAAGAGGCAAACGAAAACTCACCCTAAAATAATAATTCAAATACATGTTTCTCAACACTATCCCAAGGCAGAAAAGAGTCACCTACCAGACATAACTCGCTAATTTTTGTAGACCTCTCTTGACACACACCTAGTTAACTTTGCAGCTGTGAATTTGACAATTACCTGTGGGTGTGAACCAAGATATGACCTCTGATGAAGTGAAACAGAAACAGAGCCAATTTCGAAGTTGTGATATTAATCATGCAGTGTTAGAATAGCTAATATTACGTGAGTGTTTGCTGTATGCATCACACATGCAGTGAGGCTGTCTTTGGTCCTGATACCAAATAACCTTTTTGTCCCTGATGAAAACTGCGTCAGGTGTAGATTCCCACAGACTGGGGACTGAGCATGGGGAAGAGAAAAGATATTAGTGGCTCCACCTGAGACGATGTATGCTGATCGCCGAACTACCTGCTTTGAGCCCTACCCCACGCGTGACTGCTCTGTGGTCTTGGCCAGTTCGCTAATACCTCCCGGATTTGCTTTTTTAAAACAATGGAGATAACGCTCCCTCTTGTGCTCACTGAGAAGATTAAAGAGTCCATATGGGAATTACCTGGCGGTCCAGTGGTTAGGACTCAGCACTTTCATTGCTGGGGACCCCGGGTGCCATCCTTGGTCCCGGAACTATGATCCCGCAAGCCATGGTGTGTAGCCAAATAAATCAATAAATAAGTAGAGAGTCCATGTATAAAACGGTGTGTTAAAGGTTGACGCACCATATACATGTTACTTGTTGTAACAATTCCTATTCTATTTGGACGAGGAGGCGGCTTGATTCTGTGAAAAGCGTGTGGTCTTTGAACGCAGGATAGACGTAGGTCTGACTCTGCCTTATGGCTTCAACGTATTGTGTGAGCTAACGTCCGAATATCAGTTTTCCTAAATGCAAAATACATGCTATGCTACGTACCCTGCGCGGCTGTAGAAGGGTCAGGAATAATGAATGCAATTAAGATTGTTGGTACAAATGAAGTCATTTCCACAAATATATTTTAACCAACAGTACTTACTGTATAGCTCAGGGAACTCAGTGCTCTGTGGTGACCTAAATGGGAAGGAAATCTAAAAAAGAGGGGATTTAGGCGTACGTATGACTGTTTCATTTTGCTGTACAGCAGAAACTAACGCAACATTGTAAGGCAACTATACACGCCAATAAAAATTTTAAAAAACACAGTATTTATGAAATAGTTAACTACATGTTCTATCAAAACCATAATCAGACTATGACCCTACCTTCCTACAACTTAATAATGGGCTGACTCATCAGCTGTGAAACCCAAAGACTTTACATGCTTGGTACTAATATGAGTACTGGTCAGTTAGAGCCTCGTTCTGTCGTATGAGAGCCGAGAGAACGAGGCAGCGTGGATCTTGCCCATCTGACCCGCTGCTGTAAGGGGGAAAAAAAAAATCTCTGCAGGCTGAGGATCAGTTCTTGCAAACAAACAACGTCTAACACAGAGAGTGGCTTTCGCAAATTAAATTGTGCAAGGATTTTAAATTCTTAATTTAAATAAGAACATAGACATCGAACATAGACATGGACTAAATTATTCATCTTGGATGAAAATTTAATGGTGGCCAGGTGAAAGCAGGTGAGACGTAGATTGGTGACCTCCAGCTGTCTCGCTTTATTCTGAATTCTCAAATTGCCTGTGGACTCAACTGGTTGGATATAGAATCTGCAGTTTGCCATAACTGTGTAGGTGCCCTTTCTTGACTAGTTGCTTGAATTATTAGGGAATCAGTTAAGAATTACTTTATGACACTACTAGCTAGTTTCTGTAATTACCCAAAAGAAAGCTTAGAAGGAATGTGACAAGGGTTTGGAAACAATGGCACCAGCTCTTTTACTAAGTGTATTTCTCTCTCTCTCTCTGCCTCTCTGTCTGTCTCTGTCTCTGTCTCTGTCTGTCTCTCTCTCTGTTTTATTTTTACAGGGAAAAATGTGCTGAGATGGAAAAGAAATCAAGTGGACTTCCATGGTGGCATTTTTAAAAGTATCTTCTTAGAAAGACAATGTCATGGTAAGTATGAAAAACATAATCATTGATCTCCGCTGGCTTATTTTGTGGATGCGTTTACAGCCTGGTTAATTCAGATCTGGCGGTGCTTTCAGATTTACCACTTTGGTGGTAAAAATTGTTTTCTTTTTAAAAATAATCTATTTGAAATTCACCGAAGTACAAAGCAGAGATTTCAAGCTCATTGGGAGTATACATACTGGCATGCTTTGTGAATTTAGGATTTCATAAGAATTATTTGTTTCTCCAAATAGCCACAGTGCAGAGTATATCTCATTGATGAGACAAGAAAGTCAGCCCTCCTTCTGAAATTCACCCTCATCCCTACTGGACACTGAAAACCCACTTTCTTCTACAGTAAGCATCTCAAGCCACTGGGTCCTTTGAATGGCCTCAGCATTTCATTTTATCATTTTTGTGTGTAGCCCCTGAAGAGTGCGACCCAAAATATCAGACGTGCTTCTAATGCAGGCTGTGGGCCCACTGAGGCCACGGGATCCTTCTCTTTCTCTGAAAGCCAGAAATAGAGCACAGCCCAAGGAAGGGGAAATGGGTAGAATACTTTGATGATCTATGTTTGTGAGCATACGTTAATGAAGATATTTTACAAGTCAAAATTGGGACCCTTTCCCCCCATTTAAATTTCAAAAAGGATGTGTTTTAATATATTTCAAGTAAATGGTTAAGACTTTTCATGGCTCAGCTGTCAATTCAAGCCCTGCTGAGGCCATTTATATGATTACATGGATTAAATACTGGCTGTTTACCTACTTTCTTACCATTTTGAGTGCGATAACTTCTAAACATTTTTCGAAATTTAGACCACCAGTGGCTTTTGAGCATCTCTTTACAGTTAACCACCTAGTTTCCCTATTTTTACTCTGTAACAAACTTCTGCACCTTTCCTGGATTCTAAAAGATTGTCAAGGTCACGTCCTTCATTGAACTCCTATTTCTAGAAACTAGATTTCCAAACTCCTTTTCCTATTTCCTGCTATTAAAAAAGTGCTACGTTTTTTTCCCCAAAGGTAATTTGTAATGAATAAAGAAAGACCACTACTTCCCCCTTTTTGTGGTTAACGTGCAAATTTGGAAGATGAAAAAGATGAGGGTACACAGTTCAACAGTCCATAAGAGCACACTATGTAAATCCCTTTGTCTTCTGAATTTCGAAACCCCCTTTTTTTTTTCTCACTGTCATTTTCTTTTTTCAATCTGGAGGAGCATTAATATGTAAGCAAGGCATGAAGTTGCACAAGTATTTGTCTTCCTTGTCGCACCACCAGCCTTTCGAGCAACAAGTCTATGAGGCCTTGATTGTAATCATTTCAGGAGCTGCCGTGCAAGGAGCAGTCAGTTTAATGTAACCAGCCCATCCTAGTTCTGAGGAGAAGTGGTAGTAATGTGTCTGGCATCAGACTCAGAGCTGTAGACAGCACAGCTCTGAACATGACAGCTTGGATTATGAAACCCGAAGGGAATGTGATATAAAGCACACCATAGGGGGAAGGAAATGAGAACTTATGAACTGGGGAAGACTCCTTATTGTTTTTCTTTTTTTTTTAATTAATTTATTTTTTATACAGCAGGTTCTCATTAGTTATCTATTTTATACATATTAGTGTATATATGTCAATCCCAACCTCCCAATTCATCCCACCACCACCCCCCTCCCCGCTTTCCCTGCCCTTGGTGTCCATACTCTGCATTTGAAAGCACTGGGTGTTTATCCATCTGTGCGTTTGTGCTAGAGTCTGACTGCTTCTCTGATAAGGGGAGCCCTTTGGAGTGCCACTTTTGGAGTGGGCTTGATGAGTGGTGATGCTATGTTGGAAATTTATTGTCTCCCAAGGATGGCTTGGCTGAGAAACTAAAGACAAAATTTTGAGTTTTCCTTTCCCAGAAACCTCAAGACCCCAAGTGACAACTAAAATCTCTGTGACTCTTTATTATTTTTATTTATTTATTTTTCCCGCTCCCCATATCTTCAGGTCCATCCTCTAGTCGGTCTGTGTCTTTATTCCTGTCTTACCCATAGGTTCTTTTTTTTTTTTACATCTGTATTGGAGTATAATTGCTTTACAATGATGTGTTAGTTTCTGCTTTATAACAAAGTGAATCAGTTATACATATACATATGTTCCCATATCTCTTCCCTCTTGTGTCTCCCTCCCTCCCACCCTCCCTATCCCACCCCTCTAGGTGGTCACAAAGCACAGAGCTGATCTCCCTGTGCCATGCGGCTGCTTCCCACTAGCTATCTATTTTACGTTTGGTAGTGTATATATGTCCATGCCACTCTCTCACTTTGTCCCAGCTTACCCTTCCCCCTCCCCATATCCTCAAGTCCATTCTCTAGTAGGTCTGTGTCTTTATTCCTGTCTTACCCCTAGGTTCTTCATGACATTTTTTTTTTCTTAAATTCCATATATATGTGTTAGCATACGGTATTTGTCTTTCTCTTTCTGACTTCCTTCACTCTGTATGACAGACTCTAGGTCCATCCACCTCACTACAAATAACTCAATTTCGTTTCTTTTTATGGCCCTCTGTGACTCTTTAACTGGACTGATTGTCGTTTACAAGGGGTACAGGGTTCAGTGGGGAAACACAAAGACCTGTGAATCAGGGCATTTCTGTTGTTATCCAGGTTTGCTGCTCGTTAGCCTGTTTTCGATGGTCAGGCTTCTGACGTGTTTAAATAATAGAGATGTATGTATTTATTCCCTTTTCACTATGAAGAATTTGTGGTTATAAATGAAAAAAACATCTGTCTAGGAAGCAGAAAGAATTCATTAAGCCTACTGAATACTTGAACGTTCCAACTTATGCCCGTTGGATCTAATTTTGCACACACCATTGACTGAACCCTTTCTGGTTTTGTAACCTTGTTAAAGGAAATGCTTTGCAATGGATTTTCGTGGTCATCGGGGATGCTATTGGTGAACTGATGTTAGACATTCCTTAATTTTTTCCCAAAGATGGTTTAGTTCAGTTCAAAACTGACAACCAAGAACAATGCCTTTCAAGGCACTCCTGGAACCATGATTTTCATTTCTAAGTGAAGGGATCGAGGGATGAACCAGAATTAGGATGTTTGGCATTTTACGTTTGGACTGAATTTGCTAGTCTATTGAAGATCCTGACATTCAGGGTTATGCTAGGGGCTAATACACTCGAACATTGAGGTAGTTTGTTTATACGCTACTTAGTTCTGGACACACATTGTCCAAATGAATCTTTTATTAAAACATTTTGTGATTCCGAGGGACACAGATTAGTTATGTAAATCAATTTGGTATAGTAACTGAGTTATAGACTTAAATACAATGATAAAAGTAATAATAATAATGTTAAATAGTATAGAGCTTCCCTGGTGGTGCAGTGGTTGAGAGTCTGCCTGCCGACGCTGAGCCTGTGCGTCCGGAGCCTGTGCTCCACAACGGGAGGGGCCACAACAGTGAGAGGCCCGCGTACCGCAAAAAAAAAAAGAAAATAGTACTACTTTTATGTTTAATTTCTCAGCCATCGCAAAAGGAATTTGTTGTGCCCATGAGCTCAAATTTTATTGTTCAAAAAGGTGTCCGTGAATAATATAGTCTTCCTTATTATCTTGAATGGAATGCTTAAACTTGGATCCTCCATAACAAGATTAGCTATTTGTACTGTTGATATTGAAACTATCCATATGAATTTGCTTAAATAAAAACATTCTTATAGGGCTTCCCTGGTGGCGCAGTGGTTGAGAGTCCGCCTGCCGATGCAGGGGACACGGGTTCGTGCCCCGGTCCGGGAGGGTCCCACATGCCGCGGAGCCGCTGGGCCCGTGAGCCATGGCCGCTGAGCCTGCGTGTCCGGAGCCTGTGCTCCGCAGTGGGAGAGGCCACAACAGTGAGAGGCCCGCGTACTGCAAAAACAAAACAAAACAAAAACAAAAAAACAGACACCGATACGTAAAGCTCAAATGACCAAGACTTTGCTTCATTTACTGAAACCAAATGAAACACCAATATCCCTTTTTAGGATAATAATTGCACTTACAGTCACCTCTGAATTTTGTATGAGCAATCACAAAATGGGAAAACAAGAAGATCCTGTTGATACGTTCAGATGTTGAGACTCTGACCAAGGAGCTTCACTAGAAAAGAAAGAATTTGTTGCAACTTGAAAGGTGATCCCGCTTATCTTAAATGGGCATTGGTTATCCAGGTGAACTGGAATGGCAGGACGCGTGTAAAGAATCATTGGAAATAGCTGGTGTCTTTGGTTGGGTTCCCTCGAAGAAGAACCTGAGACAGGAATTTGAGTGCCATTGATTCACTGAGGGAAAAACCAGCAAGGAAGGTGCAGAGAAATGGGAAAGGACCAGCCCCTGGTAAAATAGAGCCTTGGTCTGATGTCATGGTGGCAGGGCCCCTGGAGCACAGATTGTACCATCCGGCTTTGAAGCAAGAAGGACCACCATTTGTAGCCCCCACGTCAGGAGGTCTTTGGCTGTGGGGTCTTCAGGGTGGGTAGGTAGGGGGCAACTTTCCAGGCAGGGCAACTTATTCTCCACCAAGGGCAGTTCTCTACAGAGGAGAGCAGCTGTGACCTGTTAATAGCACCCAGTTCCAACGGCTGGAAGAGATCTCCATCTGCCCTGTAAAGATATGGGCAAGGGGTCAAAACAGCATCGATCCCCCTACTAACTCCTGCAAGTAGAAATCTCTTTAAACGTTCATTTAAAATAATACTTCTCACGCTGTGATTCCTAATACTTACCACTCGGAAATTCTCGTGTGTTCAGTTCAGATTAGGTGATGGCTTATGCTGGTCATCGTTGTATATATTTAAGGTCATGATTTCTGAATCTTTCGCTTATATCCCAACTGTAAGGTAAGGATTTGTTTAAAAAAGTTTTGTTGTTTTTTTTTTTTAAAGATTTATTGGTCCAGTTTCAAACCCTGGGGTTCCTTTTGTACACGTATTTTCCAGGCTTATAAGTCCTCATACTTAGCTGGAGCTGACGCTTAGAATAATGATTTCTTAATGAGAAGCTGAACTGGATTTATTAGCAGGTTTTATAAATCAAGTGCAAAATATATAGTTCAAACTTCTAAAGCACAGATTTATGGATCCTTGCAATAAATCATGAGAATGAGTATCCATAAAGTCCTATTTTTTTCACTAATCTGGTCAACTGCTGGGTAGACATGTCTTGTCTTTTAATGCATTTCATATTCATAATTAGAACTCATTATTTCAGTAAAAATCTGTTGATTTATGGTTATCCTAAACGCATGCATTTGGAGGAGTTTGGAAGCCTGCCCGCATATTAACAGTTACAGAGGAGAACTAATGCAATCACCATGAGAATGCATGAAAAATGTACAATAATAATACTGGATCCCAGACGTCAAGGACAAGGCAGAATTTAAAACAGCCCTGCTTCCATTCTCAAAAAGGTACCACTTAGTAATTATTATTAGGAGGGAGTCATTCAGCTTTATCACTGTATAATGTTCTATAATAGACTTAACACTTTTATGCCTACGTCTTTATTTCATTCTGACACTAGGAAATAGGCAGGGTGCCTATAATTCTTTTTACAGACAAGTCGATGAAACCAAGGCTCTGATGCTCGAGGCATTACCCAAGGTCACATAGATGGTTTGGAGATCGTCTCCTTGCCCCAGGTCCTGGCCTCCAGCCTTCCTCAGGCTCCCACCCCAGCACGTTTTAGGGTGGACGTGAATGGTCACTGCACGAGGGAAACTCTCTAGGGCAACTGTGATCTCTCCTTCAAAGTCTCCATACACAGAGAATCCTACTGCGGATCAAAACTCTGAAATTTCACTCCTTTGTGTTGAGTACCTTCCTCCATCGACCCTGGGAGGGAACAGTGTGTAAACAGGTCACCGTCCACACAAAACCGTTTTCCAGTTGGTTGTATGACTCATCCCTCTCAGCCAGGATTCATTTATTAGGGTTGACAGGACCAACAGGGATGCCCGGGGAGGAACCCCAGGAGCCTGGCTACTGGGGAGCTGGTTCGATAGCTGTCACACAGTCCACCAGGAAGAAATACGGATTTAACTTTCCAGAAGGGATTAAAGACTTTGTTAATACTGTGAAACATTAAGGTAACGTTTTAAAATTTGAATCGATGGTTAATGCCATTATGGGAAGGCCGCACACGAGGGGACTGTCAGAGAATGGTGTT